TGACACCAACGATGGGGCACTATTCCCCCCCCCACTGACACCAACGATGGGGCACTATTCCCCCCCCCACTGACACCAACGATGGGGCACTATTCCCCCCCCCTGACACCAACGATGGGGCACTATTCCCCCCCCCACTGACACCAACGATGGGGCACTATTCCCCCCCCCCCACTGACATCAATGATGGGGCACTATTTCCCCCCACTGGTGTGCATTGGAAGAGGGGGTAGTCTTATACGGCGAGTATAGCCCAAACACTACATTTTAGCAGGAAAAGTAGGGGGGTCGTCTTATACGCCGGCAAATACGGTATATTTGTGAAATAAAAAATAGAAAACATGAAGCATTAGAAAATCTTTGTGCATCGATCATTTTTCTCTTTCTCCATAGATAAGGGAACAGTCCTCTCCCTAAGGTGGGGTGTCTTCCATAATGAAGTGAGAGGGGTCACAGGGTTACAAAGCTCTCACTTCCCATGTTTTTGGTAGCAGTTTTCCAAGATTTTGTTTTATCTTTTTTTTTTCTTTTGCGGTTTTGAAGTACTTTCCTAACTCCAGCTGTCTTCACTGGTTGGGCAAGTTTTGCAGGTGACCTCACATATGCTCAGGTTAAAGTGGGAAGGAAAAGCAAAACACTAACCACTCTTTAAATGTTGCCTTCCCATTGCTCTGAAATTTAGAAGAAGTATATGTACTGAACACAAAGTAAATACCTTGTTTTTTCTATGCAGTCATGTGCTTGAAAAACTCCAGCAAGTGTCTTCTCGGTGTAGGGCTGACAACACCATTGAATCCCACACAACATGACATCATCCCACCAGCATCCTTGGCTGCAAGGTGGGGCTGGTCAGGGTAGAGTTCTTGCCCACTAACTGCAGACAGACAAACTCGCTGAAGCCTTGCAGTCACGTGACCATATAGAAAAAATAAAGTGTATGCTTTGTGATTTAGTAGAAAATGTATGCATTGAATACAGAGCAATTCATACGGAGGCAACATTTCTGAGATAAATTTGTGTTTTGCTTTTCTATCCACTGTAAAGCGATTAAATGTTTTCTTGGGTGTTTTGTTTTTTTTGTTTTTTTTTTATTCTTAAAAAAACCCCAAAACCTAAAAAACACAAACATGTCATACTGCAGCCCAGATCCTCCTCTGTTAAGGTGCCCTTCCAATTCTCCTGACTCCTCTTCCTTGACCAGTGCCCCCAATAGCAAGCTGCTTTCTGTTGGGGCACTGGTGCATGCTCACATCCAAGCCCTGTTTTAAGCGTTCTTAAGAGACATCCCTGCTTCCTCCTCATTGGCTCACTGTCTGTGATTGACAGCAGTGGGAGCCAGCGGCTCCCTCTGCTGTGTCTCAGCCAATGAGAGACCCGTGACAGCCGAGGTTCTTGGGCACAGCGCTGCATCGAGAGGGTGCTCAGGTGAGTATTAGGGGGGCTGCAGGGGGTGCTACTAGCAGAAGGCTTTTTAACTGCATGCATAGAATGCACAAAGGTAAAAAAAACCTTCAGCCTTCATAACCACTTTAAGGCAGGAGTATCTCAGCAGGGTAAACTATGGAATGGTTGGTGGGACATGTCTAGGGAGCAATGCCTTAGGATTCTATGCACTTAATAGGTGTAGACTTGCTTGCATTCTCAGTTCTACAACCCTTTAAAGGAAAGCCTTTCTTCCCCATCACAGCATGCAAGACTTGACTTTTCTGTCTCCCAGGGGACAGTGAGCGGCTCTAATGAAGAAGATCTGGGAAAGGAATGCATTCATCACAAAACGGGTTCTCTAGCTTTAAAAAAAGAGCAACATCTCTTCTAAATCATCATCTCTTAAATAAACTTGACATTTGTAGGAAAGTGCTGCTGAGCGATTTTTCTTTTTTTTTTTTTGTCCTGAAATTTGCTGAACTCAGCTTTTCAAAGTAAAAGTACTTTCCATTTCACCTACTGTTATCAATTTAGTGCGTGCTTACAAGTGGGGTGCAGAGCCTCTAAATCATGCAAGTCCTCTTGTGTTATGGAAAACTGCTGTTACTGTTTTAAAGATGAAGGAAGGATAATGGCCAGGAGTTCACGGGGCACTAACAAAAGTTACAAAATAGAAAGCAGACCTTTGTGGTGTGCTTGTATGGTGGATTAGATCGCCTTGGATCTGAAAACCATTGTATGCTTTTAGGACTTTGCTATAGCTGCATGTTTTCTGCTTCATTTACTTTGATGATACGCCTTTTATTAGTGGACTAATAAAAGGGGGCATATTTTCACTGTTCCCACTTATTGACAGTGTACTGCCCTTTTCTCTGCAGGGGTGGGAGAGCAAGGGAGCCATACAAGATAATGATGCTTAGCTTCCAGATCTTTATCCTGACAGGTTGGCATTACAGCTACCATTACTGAATGGTTTGAGGTGTAGGCACTGGGATCTGTCAATCCTATTTTTTTATAGGGAAAGTTTAATGTGAGAGTAATGGGGGCTGCCATTCATTGCAGAACTAAGGCCATCATACATGTATTGTTTCATGATATGGAGAATTGTTTGATAATTGCTCCATTCATGTCCTGTAGGTCTGGACACAAGGTCTGCATTGTTAGCCTGTTTGTATTGAAGGTTAACAATGAAAGTACTGTTTAATAACTAGTAATGGCGCCATGTTGGATGCTTCTGTTCGAGAACCCTTGGGATATATATCTGGTTCCAGACAATCTGATCCCAACTTATATGGCTAACGTTGGATCCTTTGAATTGTGTATGGGCCAGGTATGCAAGCATGTCTGAAGAATTAGGAGTCGCACAAGGCACTTGGGGGGTGCATAGTACCTACATCCAGTTTCCTTGAGGGGATTTTTTCTTTATGGTGCTATAATTTGAATAGAGACTGGGAACACAATGTGTATCTGTATGGCTGGCCATACACTATACAATTTTCGTACAGTTTTCTGCCCAATTTCCTTTAGATTTACCTTCAGCTATGTAGTTCAAGGGCCTGACTAATTGGATACAATTGAAAGTGTTGTTTAGGTTTGACCTTATGTTCTATGGTTTTTGGTAAATCTAAAGCAAAATTGTTGTGAAAATTGTATAATGTATGGCCAGCTTATGGCTTGTGTTGGCTGCCTGATTTGCCGACTAATCCACCCTCACTGCCAGGACTGCCCAGAGCTGTGCCAGTGTTATCACATGATCATGCGGCACTCCAGGCATCTCACTGAACACCACACACTGACTAGAGATGGACACAACTGTTGTTCTCTGTGTTTCAGAAGGTGCTGGGGGGTTCCATGTGTTAGATTGTCATTGAGAAGGTGCTGTGTTTTATAGTGTGGACATTGGTGAAGGTGAGGGCCAAATGATGGTATTGTGTGTTTTTTCTCCTCTAAAGTTGATGTTGGGAGGCTGACGTGATCCAGCTCTCCGTGACTGTGCGGGGTATTTGCATATTTCTGTCTCAGTGCACTTGGTTCATCATCACATAATCAGATTGCTACAGGGAGACGTTTCAAGCCATCTGTTTACATCCTCACACCTCGGTGGTTGCCAGGCAACATCACAGATGTGTTTGAATAGATATTAATACTATGATGAAGGACATGGCATGCAAAATAAAAAGAGCAAGCTAATGATTACAGTGAACGAAGAATTTAATCCAGGTCATCACTGATGTTACAAATGTTGTAGCTTTACAGGTTTCTTTACAGAAGAGGAACTCTTATTAATTGTATGCTCCACCATAGGTCGATGTCAGACAAGCGACGTGACACAGCTGTCTAAAGCTGCCCATACATGGCTCATTTCTTTCATTCAACCAGCAGGTTGGATTAAACAAAAAAAAACCTTCCCCAAGTCCTGACAGCGGGGAGACTTCCCTACTGTCAGAACACACAGATCAGCACTGCAGCCTATTGTCTGTGGCGCTGATCGAACAGCTTTTATCCAACATGGTGGTTGCACAGACGTTGATCGGTGGATTGAAATATGGCTGGTCCCTGCTCAACTGGCTGAATGTATTTTTTATTACAGGTACTTGTATAGCTCCATCAATTTTTACACAGTGCTTTACATATACATTTTCTACATTCTCTTCAGTCCCTTCCATCATGGAGCTTGCAAAGTAAGGTCCCCAACTCACATTCATACATACACATACTAGGGTCAGTGTAGACAGGAGCCAATGTACCAGCATGTCTTTGGGTTCAGGAGGAAACCGGAGGACCCAGAGGAAACCCACACAGGCATGTGGAGCACATGCAAACTCCAGGCAGGTAGTATCATGTTTGGCTAGCTTAACTCCTACTAAGTTGAATACTCTCACTGAAATGAATGGAGATCTGTCTTCCTGCCTAATGAGGGTAGAGGAGTGATTTTAGAAAGGCAGCTTGTGGTGTTATGTGAACTGATAGCTCTTCCCCGAACCCCTGTGATGGCAGTTGCCCCCTCCCAAGCTTGTACTGGGGGCTCATGACCACTTTGTGTTTATCTCCAGCTATAGCACATAAAGTGTTTTGCTAATCAAAAACCACTGCATGCTAGATTGCTTATCTGACATGGTCTTTGAAGAAAATCTGTATTCCGTTATACATCCGCATATTAAGAAACAAATTGTTAGCTTGTGCCTAATGCTGTACAAACTGTGCCACAGTGGTTTGTTGTTTTTGGGCTATGCATGATGAGATTCTGTTTAATAAAACCATACGGTGGCTGTGTCAGACCCCTCTATTCTCACTACAAATCTCTGGGGTGATCATACCATAGCAATGAAAAGAAAGTGGAAGCGTCCCTTAGGTCCCTCCAGTTCAGGCTGCACACAGCCATCACTCAGTTATCTTGTCCATACTCTATCCTCTTCCAGCAGTTCTTCAGTAAGTTTGGTGATTGCACTGCTAGAAAATCAGATAACCGCAACTGGACGATCTGTTTTACTAAAAAATAAAATTGCTTCAAAAAACTGTTATAGTTTTCCTTTAAATTGTTAACCATGTAAACCTCTGCTTGCATTTATTTGTAGACTGTTCTGGTTTCTGGGAACCAAAAGAGAATGAATGCAGGCTTCTGGAAGTCAGAAGTAATATGCCATGACTTTGGGGACCATCAAGGGGACCTTCTGAACTGCAAGGAGGGCATTGTGTCTAGTGGAAATGTCACAGAGTTCTGGGACGGCTTTGAGGATGTATCCAGTAAGTGACATTATGTAGCAAAACTCTTTTTCTGTTACAACTGTATCCCTTCTTAACTGTTACTTTGTGTCTTCCCAAAAACAGAACGTCAAAAACTGAAAAATGGAGAAACGATTCTTCTGAAGATGAAAGACCAGCCTTCAGGAGATGACTTTAGGAACATGATGCCAGCAAGGTAACAGACAGATGTTTTTTTTTTTTTTTTTAAATTTATTTATTTATTTTTTTTATTCTATTCTTCGCTTGACAAATTTTTTTCAGGGTAAATGTTTTGTCATTTAAAAAGATCCTCTCACCTTGTAGGTAGCTGTGCTGTTAGAAATGGTTAAATCTGACGTTATTCATGCACACCTTCAGCAAGGGTACACTCAGGTTAACATGGTATCACAACTGCATATCACCTATCTGAAAGATCCCTTTATAACATAAATGAGTGCAGGTGAACCGGATACAGCAATAAGAACAATACATTTGTTACGAACAGATGCCAGATGGTACCGTGTATGTGTGTGTATGTCTATAGGCAGCAGTTACACTTGTTGCTTCCAAATTGTTGAAAGCTTTGCTGTACACACTACTCTTCAGTTGAGTTGAAGCTTGGGTGAGCCAATTTCTGTGTGAAGTCAGGAGGACAGCCAATATGTAGATGAGCTGGTCACCTAAAGCCCAGTACACACGGGCCCAAAATCAGGTGGTTGACTAGGAACTGAAAGATGTTCGGTCTGTGTACAGCTGCCTGTCAGTCATACTGGAAAACTAATGGCTGCAGGGGATGGGGAGTCCCCTTGTGTGAATACTTTTCAGCAGGAAAGATCCCTGCCTCAACATCACTTGTGTTTATTTGAGGATCTGTCAGTTTTTTTGTTTTTTTTTTTTGGGGGTTTTTTTTTTGTTTTTCAGGCAACCTACTGGTTGAATGGAAATATTTGTGTGTACCCAGCTTTAAGGCTTGTTTCCAGCAGATGCATTGTCATTCATTTTGCTGTATCTTGCAACATCGGCTAAATGCATGGACATAAAAGAAAAATCCAGTGTTACATTATTTTAATTTGCTTCCTCCACCAGCAACCAAACTACTTTGTGTAATAAACTACAAGTAGTGATTTGGATCATGCATAGAGCTCCAGACTCTCGTGCTGGACAACTGAATAGCCAGACATGAATGATATCGCGTGCTTCAGAATACCAGGAAATACTGGGCGTTTTTCTTTATTTCAGCTAATTTGAACACCAGAAGCAATCCTTATTATCATACTATACATACTGTTATATTATCAGAATTTATATAACTTCAACAGTTTCGCAGCACTTTGCAAAATACAGTAAATTCAAGACAAGGAGGACCTTGCTCATGTGAGCTAAAATCTGTAGCGCAGGGGCAAATGATACAAAAGATAAACAATACATTAGAGGTTTCTAACAATCAATGTAAAGATAACATTGACTAACTCCTACACAGCTCCCATCCATAGGGGGATATTTACTAAAACTGGAGCACTCTGAAGCGGATTGGTTACTATGCACAGCTGCACCAGATTCTAACGTCAGCTTGTTCAATGAAGTGTTGGCAATAATACCTAGAAGCTGATTGGTTTCTATGCACAGCTGCATAGAAAACCCCCCCCCCCCCCCCCATAGTATAAATTATGACATGTTGAAAAGTCCCAGAAATCAATATTTTTCTGATATGTTGACTGCAAAATAGTGTTTATTTGAACATTGTGAGCATTTTGATTTAGGCAAATTGCTTGCCTCAAGCATATCGGATCAGTTGTAACTGTGGCCAACCAATGCTAAGTTCAGTGCTACTAAATAGAAGTTGAAATAACCTTTTGCAGCATGAGATGTCTCTGTAATGGGATGAAAACACTGCACATCATTTCACTTAACTGTTGTGACTGTCCTGTACCCAGATGTCGCAGCACCACCTGCAGGATGATGTGGGGTTCTTGCACACGTTGGTTGCACTTCCTAGGTAGATTTCTCTGAACAAGGATGGATGATGAGGAATCTGCCCATATGCTTCTAGGTAACTTCTCTAGGTTGTGTTGCTTATAGTTATTGGGACAAGTGATGCAGCCCTCAGATTAAAAAAAAAAGTAAGTGAGGATTTCCCCTGGTCATGGTTCTGGTTTTGTCAGAGGATCTTGATATGGACATGGTGTCTCTGACGTACTGACATCATTATATAACATTAACTATGATGCTGATCGTCTTGTTCGTTCTGTATTATTTATGTGAGCCTAATCTTAATCATAGTGTCATTTCTAACCATCTAACTTGCCTTCAGACATGAAGACTTCTTTAGAATGCTGCCAGTCCCAGAATACCTCAACCCAGAAGGGAAGTTCAACTTGGCGTCTCACATGCCAGCATTCTTTGTGCGCCCAGACTTAGGCCCCAGGATGTGCAGTGCATATGGTAAGTTGATGCATTTATTTCAGTGCTCTGGTTATTAAGCATGATTTATGTGGCCAAAGGGTTTCTTATTGGTTGTGGCAGTAAAATGGCAAATCTTATATCTTTGAATATTTAGAAGGAATGCATCTCATTTGACCCTCTTCTCAGGACAAATCACAGTTTTGAGTGAATCTTTACCTAAGGGCTGCCCCCATCCACAGTTAATGTTGAGATTCACAAAGATAAAATGAATTTACATTTCTGTACTCATCACTGGTGGCTTCCTCCGTAGGCTTCAGCAGTCTTGCACTGGTATTCTCTGCCCTACAGTGCTTCTTCTTTCTAAGTGTATGTCAGTGATCCATTGGTAAATAGCTGGGAGGAGTACTGTGCTGAGAACTTGATTAGCACTCAATAAGCTTTGAAATAAGAACACAAATGTAACTGTTAAAGGAGAACTAAACCTACAGTTCAAAACTGGTAACTGTTTATTGAAGAATCACTATCTGCCAATTAAAAAAAAAAAAAATGCAGTAATGCGGGGCTTCTCCCATCCAGCCGTGTCAATCATTCACATTTCTGTGAATAAATGAACTAAAGTCCCAACAGTCTTTGCGGCTGTCAGTTAATAGGTTTCAATCAACTACCACGGCGCTGTGGAGCGCCGTGGTAGTTCATTGATTCTTCCTGTCAGTATATCTGCTTGTACATTCCGTACAGCAAGAACATATGCTGACAGGTCTGCAGGAGATCTGCCTTGCACCAGCAATCATCTGATCGCTGGTGCAATGCTTTAGAAGCTCTGGATACAAAAAATAAGGCACTTTTTTTTTACCTGCAAAAAAATGTGCATTTATTTTTTGTTAAAAGGTGAACCTATCCCCTAAGACCAACAGCACCTCCTTTTTCCTCTGGGTTTTCATTATCCAAGCAAATATGCATTAGTAAGGCAATAACAAGTGGGCTGTTTGTTACATCATGCAAGATTTCTGGCCAAGCAGACAAGAGTTGCGCTGTAATGAGGGCTCCTCTTTTGGTTGATAATAGGAAGAGAAATTGGGATTGCTCTTCTCTAGTCATGCATAAGCAATTATAATTTGAAATCCTGTATTCTGTTGAGACAGATGTGGTTTAAATCTAACATGCATACATGCCAGTACAGGCACTCTCTGAGGTCTTTCCACTCCTCAAAGCAGAAATAGATCAACACATGAACAATTATTAAAGTAAGAGCTTTACTTGAACTGTGTGTCAAGCATGTTTTTTTTTCCCTATGTATTGCAAATTTTAGGCGTCATTGCTACAAAGGATCAAGATATCGGCACAACAAATCTTCACATTGAAGTTTCAGATATGGTGAACATTCTAGTGTATGTCGGTGCAGTAAGAGGCAATGCATCAGCAACTAAGTCAGGTAGGTTGTTGCTTTTAGAAATGAACATTATATACAATATGTGTTCAGGTTACTAGGGTCTGTACTGCCGCTTGATTTATGAATTAACCGTTTATTTTATTACTATAGCCGTTTTAAAGAAGTTTGAGGAAGAGGAGTTAGATGAAAACATAAGGAAGAGACTGAAGGATGCCAGCGAGCTTCCCGGATCCCTTTGGCACATTTATGAGACAAAAGACGCAGACAAAATCAGGGACTTTCTACACAAGGTAAACCATACGGGACCTTCAAACAGAACAAATCTTATTTAGATTGGGTGCACAATTAGGCAAGTTGTATTTTTGAGGAATAATTTCATTATTGAACAACTACAGCGCTCTCGATCAATCCAAAATGTCACTAAACCTCAATCCTGAATATTTAAGAAAGTAAAAGGTGAGGTTTCAGTTTTCTTAGAATATCTGTGTGCACAATTATTGGGCAACTATTAGTCTGCAGAATTAATATGCAGCTAAATGAAAAAACTAAAATTTTCCCATTTCACTTTTTTTTTTTTTCTATCTGGTAAAGTGAAAATAATAAACTCAAACATTTCTGACATTAAAAAAAAAAAAAAGTGACCAATATAGGCACCCTTCTTTTCATTACCAGTCATAATAAGCCTTCCATTCATGGAGTCTTTCTTGGTCTGGTCATGATCAACTTTTTGTGAAGCAGCAACCACAGCCTCCCAGAAACTGTTCAGAGAAGTGTACTGTTTTCCCATTAACGAAGGTCCCACAAGTTCGCTATAGGATTTAGGTCAAGCAAGGAAGGGGGGCTGTGTCATTATTATTTCATCTTTAAGGCCTTTACTGGCTAGCTACGCAGTGGAGTACTTCGATGCATGTGCTGGAGTATTGTCCTGCATAAATATCATGGTCTTCTTGAAAGGTGCATACTTTTTCCTGTACCACTGCTTGAAGAAAGTGTGTTCTAAAAACTGGCAGTAGGTTTTGGAGTTGATTTTGAGTCCATCTTCAACCCACAAAGGTCCATTTTTAATAATACCAGCCTATGCCAGTACCCCACCTCCACCTTGCTGCCATTGAAGTGGAGCTCTGTGCCCATTACTGATCCAGCCACGGGCCCATCCTTCTGGTCCGTCAAGAGTTACTCTTATCAGTCCATAAAACCTTTGAAAAATCTGTCCGATATTTCTTGGCCCAATCTTGACATTTCAACTTATGTGTGTTGTTCAGTGGTGGTCAGGTTTCAGCCTCCCTTACCCTGTCCATGTCTCTGACCACTGAACTCCTTGTACTTCAGGGCACTCCAGGTAAGGTGCAGTTAGGGAATATGACAGCATTGGAGGATAATGGGTTCCTGGTAATTTGACGTTTTGATTCTTCTCAAATCTTTGACAATTAACTTGCATCTTTATTTCTCAACACGTTTCTTGCGACCCTGTTGACTATTTGCAACAAAGCGTCATACTCCTGCAGACTGTCAGTGTAGCTGTCTGCCCATATCTCTGATTTGAGCAGACAGTTACTTTAGTCCAGGAAGAATCAATGGACTAAGAGCAAGCTCACCAGAACCACAAACTGTCAGCTGCAAAGGCTAACAGTACTTGTAGGCATTAATTCACAGAACTCTGTGAATGAATGACTTGGCTGTGAGGGCAAAGCCCGCATGGCCACGCTCTTTCAAATAGGGTGTGTGCGGGGAGATTCGAGAGAGACTGCGGGAACAAGTTACATTTTCCACCAGCCCTAAAAACAGGTGGAACATGTAACTTGTTCCCAAAGGTGATGTTATCCTTTATAAAAAATTAAAAGATCACTGACAAAAAAAGTTAGTCTTGGAATAAAATTGTGTGATATTAATAGGAACTTCCACTTGTAGGTCAGTGTTTGTGCATAGAACTTCTGCTTTCCTTGGAAGTGTTGCTTAACTCTGAATAATTTCCACACAGCGTGCTGATCTTACACCATTAGGTGACTTACATCTCTTATAGTGCTTAGGAAGGCAGCTAAAGTCAGTCATCGGTCACATGTCAAACCTACTTGGCTGTCTTTATTCTACCACAGCAGCCTATCCTGTTCAAATTTACTGGTGCACAATAGAAGTTGGTTGATAGTCGTGCGACTATACAGATAGTTGGAATAATTGGATCACATGTATATTTAAACCAAGCGTACATATGTATAATAAAAATGGACTGCCAATTAGTCATGCCTTACTTTTTGTCTAAGGTATTTTTATTTTTTCACAGGCTGCAAAAGAGCAGTGTCTTGAAATCCTTCCTGATCACGACCCAATACGAGATCAGAACTGGTACCTAAATAAGAAACTCCGCCAAAGTCTCCTGGAGGATTATGGGGTGAAGAGCCACACACTTGTTCAATTCCTCGGTGATGCTGTCATCTTGCCTGCAGGAGCTATCTATCAGGTGAAAAGATTGTCTTTTACATGTACAGATTACACAACACTTGGATTCATTGCCATCAGCTGCTAGATTGACAGTGGTGGGCAGCTTGGCATTTTCTGGACCTTAAATACACTCCAGCCCTTTGGGAAGGCACACAGCGCACGCTGTCTTTTCATCTCTACTACTCAGTAATAATTAAAACAAAAGCGTTCCCCAGCATAGTTATGATGTAGATTCTAGGATTTTGGTTTTATGAAGCAAAGCGGCATTCCTGAAGTCGGCATTCTTGCTGAACAGGATAAGAGACTGCATCAGGTAATGAGATAATATTGAATTACACCACATTTACAGAAAGTGCCTTCTTTCCTATATACTATACCTACTGTGGGGAATTTACTAAGACTGGCATAGCCGTGCATAGAAACCAATCAGCTTCTAACTTCAACTTATTCAGTAAGGCTTTGAGGATAAAAGCTGATTGGTTGCCATGCACAGCTTCTCCAGCTGTAGTAAATTCCCTGTTTGTACATACTTACCAGCAACTTTATTAGGTGCACCTGTTCAATTGCTTGGCAACACAAATTGCTAATCAGCCAATCAGATGGCAGCAATTCAATGCATTTAGGCATCTACACTCATCGGCCATTTTATTAGGTACACCTTGCTAGTGCCAAGGAAATATCCCCCACACCATTACACTACCACCAGCCTGAACCGTTGGTACAAGGCAGGATGGATCCATGCTTTCATGTTTACGCCAAATTCTGACCCTACCATCTGAATGTGGCAGCTGAAATAGGAGACTTGGACCAGGCAACATTTTTCCAATCTTTTGTTCAATTTTGGTGAGCCTGTTCAAATTGTAGCCTCCATTTCCTGTTCTTGGCTGACAGGAGTGGCACCCAGTGTGGTCTTCTGCTGCTGTAGCTCATCTGCTTCAAGGTTCAACATGTTGTGTGTTTAGAGATGGTATTCTGCATACTTTGGTTGTAAAGATTGGGTAATTGAGTTATAGTTGCCTTTCTATCATCTCGAACCAGTCTTCTCATTCTCCTGACATCAAGGCATTTTCGTCCACACAGCTGCTGCTCACTGAATTTTTTTTTCTTTTTCTGACCATTCTCTGTAAACCCTAGAACTGGTTGTGAAAATCCCAGTAGATCAGCAGTTTTTGAAATGCTCACACTAGCCCGTCTTGCACCAACAAACATGCCACGTTCAAAGTCCCTTAAATCCCCTTTGTTCCTCACTCTGGTGCACGGTTTGAACTTCACTACATCTAGATGCCTAAATGAATGCATTTGAGTTGTTGCCATGTGATTGGCTGATTAGCAATTGGTGTTACCAAGCTATTGAACAAGTGTACCTAATAAAGTGGCCAGTAAGTGTATAGTTACAATTATACTTAAAAACAAGACTTTTAAAACATGAATGCAGTTTGATAAATGTATACATTTTATCAAGATGATTGTAAACACAGTGGTATGTTCATAGTCTGCTCCTGCTCTTTCACTTCTTCTTCCTCTACGACATTTAGGTTATAAATGGCATTGCTACTGATACGCCAGTTTTGATATTGTCAAGTCAGCAGCTAAGCCCTCATCTCCAACCACTCCCCTGACAAATGACACATGCAGAGAGCAGCCACACATGACTGTCACAGGGTGGGCAGAGGTGTCTGATATGTGGGCTGTGATTTAATAGCTTAGCTTGTTCTCTGTGCTTTGGGGGAATAACAGAGTATTTATGAACTAATGAATTTTCAGAAGCTGAAATTGTCATACTTGGCAGCAGTTGAGTGCTTGGGGGTTTCTTTTTTTTTAACTAAACTATTTTTTTTTTTCATTATACAGGGGACAAAGTCCCCTGATGTCTTGCTTTCCTTTCAGTGAGTTGCAGTGCAGCTTGCACTGCATTAGATTCTTCCCCGGCCAGTATGAAAGAGACCTGGGGACTTAGAAATACATTTTACATGTCACATCCAAGTCAAAAGAAAGAGGAGAGTGAACAGATATCCACTCTGCTCCCTCTCCTCTATGCACCTACCATCATGGTCCCAGGTTCACCTGAGAAGGAAAGGGTGGGGGTATCAGGGTGTGTGAATTGATAGATATCTATCAAGACAGCTGCTGGCTGTCAGATGGAAACTATCTCCATGACACTCTGTGGGTGAGCCCCTAGGCATTTACCTCAAAGAAATTTATATATATGCAAAACTGGTTTAGAGGCACGTTCTTGCACTGTGTGAGATTATCACTAGGTGGCGTTGTTGGTGGGTGGGGCTTTGGGTTTATTAGTCTGTTCACTTATATGTATGTTGCAGTGTCTTGAGAAAGATGGACTGAGCTTCATTGAAATGTTGACCATAAATACACTACCTTTTTTTTTTTATCTCCCCCCTCTGCAAGACCTGTGAGTGCCTCTAAACCAGTTTTGGAGATATGCATACATACATGCATACATACATAGATATATATTACACACACTCCTGGCAGTTGCAGCCACTGGGAGTGTGTAAATCTTGTAATGTCACTGACATAGGTCGATGGCAGCAAAAGGGTTAAAGCCAAATACTAGTTTCTGCATGCATCCGCCATATTCTCTGCCACACTCCTTCATAAACCAACAAATCCGCACCACCCATGTGTTCGTACACCGCATTCTGTGCAATGTAGGTGGTGTACTCTTTCAGCAGACTTGGATGGTGGCTCACTTTTACATATACTGTATTTTCCTTTCTACAGGTGCAAAATTTTCACAGCTGCATCCAAGTCACTCAAGACTTTGTGTCCCCAGAACATCTTGTTCACTCATTTCATTTAACACAAGAGCTTAGGATTTCTAAAGAAGAAATCAATTTTGATGATAAACTACAGGTAAGAAGCGAACGCGGTGTTCTGCCTATTGGTACAGAAGTTGGCAAGAGAACATTATCATTTCCCTATGATCATTCACAGCCAAACCTAAATACAGATTAGAAACAAGGTCAGGAGTTCTGCATGAAAAGAAGTCGGGTCAGTTAGTGTTTAATAAGGGCAGGTGTTTCATGTAGCATTTACTTCCTGGAATCCATCTGCTCTTAGCTCACATTTGCAGGCTCAAGGGTGTGCCTGAGGACTCCTGGAATGTAGGACATAATTTGTCTAGGTCTGGAAACCTGGAATTACCTAGAGAAATGTTAAAAAGGTTAAACAAGTAAATGACATGCAGCTAGCATTAGTAAATGGAAAAGCATAAGGAATAAAAAGTCATTGTTGATTGAGATAGTAAAGTTCCACTTTAAAGGGAAATGGATTTAAGTCTTTACAACATAAATTGTACAAACAGGGATTTTAATTTGTGTGACCAATTTAAGGGTCTGTCATTTAGATCAGTTTGAGAGTTCCTGAGATAACTGAAACATTGACAGGTGCTTCAAGCAGCGTTAGTATTTTCATAAACTTGTATAGAAATACAGAATACTGTTTGAAATGGATAAAAAGCCAGTGATCAGGTTTTGTCAAACTCTCAAGTTAGTGGATTTTATGTATATTTACCTGTAAAAGCCCCGAGAATTCTGCCAGGCACCACCATCTTGGATGTGATGTTGGCAGGCCCAGCAAAGTCAGATGTGGCACAGGAGTGAGTGTACCGACAAAAGTGTCCAGTGCAGACACACGTATTCATGTACAAGTTTATGACCGGTGCAAGCAGTGACAGAATTCTTACAGGGTGTCTGACACCTTTTATTATCCCAAATGATATTCAGCTTAAGAGTCCTCAGAATGACCGCTTCCATCTTGAAGCTTCTCAAGTAGGTATTTAGCTTTGTGACTTAAAACTCCATAAAAAGCTTAGATTACCAAATTATATTATTATTATACAGGATTTATATAGCGCCAACACTTTGCGCAGCGCTTTACAATATAAACAGCATTGCCACCTAGGATGTAGTGTTTTATCCAGTACAAACTCCTTACATTTACCATGTTATTCCAGGTTAAAAACATCTTGTACCACTCTGTGAAAGAAATGGTACGGGCATTGAAGATCCATGAAGAAGAAATGGAAGACATGGAGGAATCCTGAGTTCATTAAGTGGGATCCTACGTGATTCCTTTGTGGGAAGACAAAACGGAAAGGACAGTGAGAGACTCACTTCATACCAGTGCCAAGACACATACTGCACCGAGTATTCATTTGTTACCGACGCCATACCAGTATCCTTCGATCACAGCCAACGAGCCCCTCCTAGGGCTGGCCTGGCCCCTCCTGCAGTGCATTACAAGCTGCTCCAGCTCAGCAGGCATTAACTCGAGTGGTAGAGCATCAGAGAGTGACGCACTGTATCATAGTGTACATTGAACATTTGTCAGAAGATTAAAAAAAAAATGTTGAAAGATCTAAATGTATTTATTTTTTTGGAAAAAAAAAGAAAACCAAACAAAAAAACATTCTATGCTATATTGTTGATCAAATGTAAATGTGACTTGTATAGTTTGCTAAAATAATTTGGATATTTTTCACTACATTGAGACAGTAACTGTGAGGGTATAACACAGATCACCAGCTATTGCCTGCATTGGAAGCATTCATAACATAATCTGAAAGATTACTGCCAAATAACTGTAAACTTTGTATAGTATAAAAAATATAACACGGTATTAAAAACAGAAAAAAAAAGACACTTCAATGTTTTATTGAAGCCTACTCAATGTATAATTAGACATTTAAGAGAAAGAAAGATGTAATTTATTTGAAACAAGTTGTCTCATTTTGGTAAAAATTTATGTGACCCTTTTGAAGCTAACTATTAAACTTAATATGCTCTGTAAATATATACATATATACATTCAATGATGTATTTTTTTAAAACATTGGCTTGCTTTAATTTGTTAAAAGTGCAAGTGTTCCACATGCTTTGTACATTGAAGTTGAAAGGGGTTTTACATTTTCCATTAAAAAGACTTTCTCAGATGCTGACTTGCTGTAGATGTGTGTTAGTCTTACCAACATCACCTACCTGTGTACAGTGGCTGTAGCTCATTGGTTAGGAATACTGACACTCTTCTTTAACCACTTCCAGTCCAGGCCAATTTTCAGCTTTCAGTGCTATCACACTTTGAATGACAATTGTGCGGTCATGCAACACTTTACCCATATGAATTTTTTTAGCTTTTTTTTTTTTTTTTTTTTTTTTTACACCCGTAAAGGATGTAAAAGCAATCATTTTTCTTCTTTAGATTCTTGCAGCCATTGAGAACTACTGAGTGAGCTGTGATTGGTCACAGCTTGTCACATGGTACAAGGACGTTGTGAATAGCTTTTTACCATGTCATCATTCACAGATTTCACACGTAAGCAATGCTGTCGCAAGTGACATCTTGCTTACTACTCTGCATGTGATCACTGATTGGCCAATCAGTGATCACATGATCAGGACCTCATACAGAGGTCCCACCCGACTATCGGTGTTCCACTGTGTCCGGAGGACACAGCGGGCACCGGATCGCGGTGCTGCACGCTCCCAGGGAACATGCACAAGCAGGGTGTGGGGAGGCTGTTTATAAACGGCCACCCGACCCTGCACTGCCACCATCTGGCCGTTTATATACAACGGGCAGACGGGAGGTGGTTAAGAATAGCTGCTTATCTGTTTGCTGCCTGATTTGCCTATCAAATCTTGGCAGGCTGTAGAAAGAGTATATTGCTGGAACTTTTCCTGCAAACCAGTCATTTTTTCATATCTTAAAGCTGAACTCCAGACACAAAAACACTTTCATATGTATTCCTCAATAGCTGCAAATTTGTACCAATGTACCAAATGCCTTTTACAAACCCAGGCATCACCTTGTATAAGTAGCATTGACATCACTGCTGTGCTATACACTCTCTCGGAGTGTCAAAATCAAATTCATTGCGGGCCGCATCAACATTATGGTTGCCCTCTCAAGGCCGGTTGTATCCGCAAGACTAGAAATGTATCTACTTTTTATCATATTAAATAATTGCTTCTGCATTCAAATACTGGTTTTAGTAATAACTTAAGCAGTGAAGGGGCAGGTGCAGACTGGCATTGAGCCCCAATCTCAAAACTCTTGTAGCAGATGATACAAGTCTGAAAAGGAGGGTCACACACTGCTGCTATCCCACAGGAAACTATTGGGGACTACTCAGGCAGAACATGGTTCTGCCATAGATTTGTCTGAGCAGGTTCCAATAAAGTTTCTTGTGGGTTGATGGCAGCAGTGTACAACCCTCCTTTTTTTCAACTGGCATAGAACTGTATTATAATTAAAAGCAGATGTTCAGAGCAGAGGCGGACTGACCATTTGGAAACTCGGGCACTGCTTGAGGACCCAGGGTCAGTAGGGGGCCTCATGAGATGCCCCTGGTACCTTTTTTCATAGGCTTTTTTGAGCTTGGGCAAGGACACGGGCCCCATGATCCCTTATTGCCTGGGGGCCCCATGACTTGTCAATCTGCCCCTGGTTCAGAGTACCCTGCATCCCCCTCCTTACATTGTGCTGCTGCCAGGAAGAAGCTGGGGGTGGAGCTTGGACACAAAGTGCAGGGTCTGGAGGAGAACCAAAAGTTTACCAAACCAAAAGTGGGGAAAGTCTAAACTGTCACAGGCTTGGAAAAATCAGTTTGAATACGATCTTTTAGTTTGTTTACTATCCATTTACAGAGAGTAGTGGTTAATGATTCATACTCTGAATAAATGGTCTAGGGTTGTCAGTGTTGGGACCCTTGCTTTAATATATTTATAAATAAGGGAAATAATAAGGTATGGGATTAAAAGTTCTGTTTCAATGTTTGCAGATGACCCAAAGCTATGCAATGGAATTACATTGTTACGAACTTGCAAACTGACCTAAATAGACTGCCACACAGTTGCCCAATTAAAGTGATGCAAATGAATGTAAACATTTTGGGGCTAAGAATATGCATGCATCATACATACTGGGGGGGGGTAAAACTGGGGGAATCAATGGTGGAGAAGGATCTGGGAGTTCTGGTAGATCATAAGCCTAATAATGGCATGCAATGCCAAGCTGTGGTTTCTAAAGCAAGCAAACTTTTTTTTCTCATATTGAGAGAGACTCCAGAGAGAGATATCATATTACCCTGATTAACTGCTTCTCAACCACCCTATAGCAGATATACTGCTACAGGGCGGCACACGGGGTCAAATGAAAATACCTGAAAATCTCTCTGCTCAGTTGTGAATACATCCTTAGTTACACTTGTGCTTGCATACCATTCATTTAATTATTTTACATTTCCTGTAACTGAAAGCTGACCAATTTTATTTATTTATTTTTTGAGAGAGAGCAAGCATTACTTTAGTCTTTCAATGGTCTCAAAACTACAGCCCACATGCTTTATCAGACCCTTGGAGCGCTTTTTCCTTTCCCTGACACAACCCATAGAACATACATTTTCTCCTGCTGACACCAATAATGGGTTAAATTACTCCCCCCTACTTTGTACATGTGATAGGTCTTCTATCCCTTTTTCCCCCCACAGGTCACTAACCCTAGTCCATTTTCTATACCCACTGACCACAGTAAAGAAAAGGTCAGTTCATGGACCTTTGGACTTTAGGAGGACCAGACTTAAGTTTACACAGATATCTGATATTTCAAGAAAATACATATGATATATTGCATCTATCAGTCCTTAGTGTGTTAAATGGATGATCATCAGGATGATAAAAGAAAACTAATGCAGCCCCCACATCTACCTGTTCTAGGGTGACAACACTCACTGTATCTATAGAAAAGCAGCACTGTCACCATTAGACAGGACTACAAGCACTTCCTCTTTGTCATAACATGAGGATTACAGCACCCCATCCCTAACTAGCTGCAAAACAATGTACAGTAAGTTATAAAAAAGTGCAGTGCAGACAACAAACACAGGAGAAAAGTATCAGCTGTCAAGTCTGGGTATACTGCTGCCTTCAGGAGGCTGGGACACACTGGAAACAGAAAAATCAGAACACTAGCTCCTGTATAACGTCTTCTCTACCCAGCATGCCTCACATTGTGTTACTGTCCTAGGTGGTTGGATGCCTTTTCTTCAGCTTCTTTTGCTAGCTTTTTTTTTTTTTTTTCTTTTCTTTTCTTCTTTTCTTTTCTTCTTCTTTCCCTCTTCTCTCCCCTTGGCAATGTTAAATGATTCTTGCTACACTACTGCTGCTTTTTTTCCCTTGATGACTTCAATCAAAACATCATACTACTGTTTCTGCACTGGACTCCCCATAGCAGCTATCTGGATTGGTAGTTTCTCAGTAGTAACTTTGGATGCCTGACCCCACCAAGCAGGACATGCAGAAATAGCTTGGAATGAGACCTTCAGGCCCATTGCAGCACCATGCAGACCTTTGTGTACAGTGTTAACCGTGGAGCACTTTCTGGGTCTAGTACTGTGGCACAGCCCCGGGGGCCTCCGTTTAATAAGGTTCAGTAAGGCAGGTGGGACTAATGTAGCAGAAGCCAACCCTCTCTTGAACTTCATTTCAAATGTCCTGCCACTGTTTACAGTGCTAAAGGTTGGGGGCAGATAGAACGAGTGCTAATGTCATCTGTTGGGCAAAGTGCATTCTTTGCTCTGCCATTCAGTCTGGAGGAAGCATCATCCCATCCCCATTTCCTTATTTGAGTCCATTAACAGATACAACTCAAACCCCCAGTGATTTTTGGCCATGTTGCTGACAAAACTGAGGCATGTTGAGTAGAGGATACAGTGGGTTAAGACTGCTACGTTGCCCACCCCTTTAGATGGACTGCTTTTGAACATCCTGAAGGTTCAAGACTTCCTGCGTCCCTCAACGGACAAGAAAGAAAATAGGATTTTTGCACTCACTGGAAAGATACTTTTCTTGGAGTCCACAGGTCCTGCCCCTCTGTACTTATGATCATGCTCTTGGTGGTACTTTGCTTCAAAACTGAGTCATGCTAGGAGTAGAAGGCATTTATACCCTGGGCTGGTCTGCAGGTTTTTTTTGGCCAGTGACCAATCCTCCTGTAGCTGGCAATATAACCACACTATTTCTGAATTCCTGAATGAACAAAATGATT